GCACCAAATATTTATTTGTTTACTTATTTTAAGGGAGATGGCAATCTTCTGGTTTCACATTTTGAGTACAAAAATTTCAACCCTGATACAACAAATAGTATTAGTACTGAATGATAATGACAGATTGCATTCCCATAAACGTCCAATCATACATGATTGAGTTTTTTTTTTGCATTCACATTCTCTATGTGAATGGGTATCAACCATTCCATAACACACTACATATTTTGTGTTTACAATTTGTAACCAATCTCAAGAGTGGTTGTTAAATTTTTTAAATCAAACAATCACATTTTTGAAACGAAAAAAATGAGAATGCACACTCAATTGATTCAATCATTACACAGCTCTGCTAAGTACCTATAAATAGTATGCAGTACACAATACTCATATCTGTAACAAGAAAATTTTGAGTAACTTGTTCGGATTTTGAGGATTTTTTATTGGTTTTTGAGAAAATTGGTAATTTTGTAGCAACACTGGTTGGCTGACTAGTTAGGCATGCGGTTCATACTAATTGTGACGTAGTTTACAACTGATACATTTGACTACAGGAGAATTATTGGAAATTAAAGGTAAATGGACCTCACACATTACGTGCATATGTATGTATGTACTAAATATATGCATTTCAAATCATTAATATGAATTTCTTCTTATAACAAAGGGGCACCAATATTTAGTTTAATGTAATCATCAAATTTGTTTTCATTTAGTATTGGAATAAAATGGTTCAGGGAAATAAAGTCCGCGGAGATTATTGCCTTTTCGGAAAGGAAATAATTCCCGCGGGCTTTATTGCTTCTTGTCGGTAGGCTTTATTTCCTGAAAAAAGGGAAAAGCTCTGGTTTATATTTTAAAATGCATCCAAAACCCCCCGTGTTGTATTCTAATACTAAATCAAAACTAATGTGATGATTACATTAAACTAAATATTTGTTTCCCTTTATTAATAAGAAGAAATTCAAATTAATGATTTTCAATACATACATTTAATGTGTGAAAATAAAATAATTTAAAGCTTCAACAAAATATTTCAGTAAAAAGTTAAACACATACTTTCGTCGATTGTCAAACAATTTTACGGCAAATTGGACACAAATTGCTCATATTTAAATTAAGAGTTCTTGCAGAGACTTAAAAGTAGAAATCGAGGCTTATTAAAACAAACTGGTTTTTGAATTCAGAATAATATGTAGTTATTACAACTAGCGTCGTCTGAAGCATCTTCTGTTTCGGCGGATAGGCTAGATATCATCGTACTAATTATGTTATTTTGCCCGTTACTCATTTGATTTTTAAAAAGCCTTCCAATCATATTTTGTTGTTTATGAAATTTTAAGTCGTCTTCTCAGTTAAATCAGCCCGTGCGTCATCCACATCACAGTATTTCTGCGGCGTGGGTATGCAAAATTGGAGTGATGTTTAAAATATCATTCAATTGTGTGTAAACGTGTGCTTCCAGATCTTAATACAAAATTATAATTGGTGTGGCTCAGTAAAATAAAGCCAAAGAAAAGAACACTCACGGGCTTTATTTCCTTTTTGTTGTTCAGAAAGGAAATAAATCCCCGCGGGTTTTATTGCCTTTTATCGGAGACCTTATTCCCATTTCTAAAGGTAAATAATGCCCGAGGGCTTTATTTCGTTTTTTTTTTTAGGAAACAAAGTCCGCGGGCGTTGTTTCACTGCACCGAATAAAACACGGGAGGTTTTGGATGCATTCTAAAATTTAAATGTAATGCCTTTCCCTTTTTTTAGGAAATAAAGCCCAACGACAAAAGAAAAAAAGCCCGCGGGAATTATTTCTTTTCCAAAAAGGAGATAATGCCTGCGGGCTTTGTTTCGTAAAACAATGAAATGAAGCCCACGGGCGATATTTCCGCGGGCGTTATTTCACTGCAACCAAATTTGCCTATCACTTAATGGAAACGGTTAGAATAAAATATGTATGTAGGTAGCTCAATATTTTACAAAGCGAGGTATTTTTAATGGTTCTTGCATCAAAATATAATTTTTATAACTTAAATTTTAGGACTTATCAACTTTTCATTGTAAGCTAGCAATATATCGTTTTAAAAAGTAATATAAAATATTTTTGTAAAAGTACCACATTTCGATGCTTTTGGGCTGATGAGGATCTAGTTCCTAGTTGGTTTTTGTCGATAAAGAACTAGTACTAAACCAGAAATTTGATTCTCTAGTTCGGGTTTCCCTGGAGGGTAAATACTAAATATTTGTTTGTACGCGTGTGCACGACCAAATCTCTTTATGCAGTTTGGTTCTTTTCCGAATGGCTTTTCATATTCAATCGGTGCAGCAAATTCAATCAGCGATTGCACAACTAAGAACAAAAAAAGTACACTATTATTTATAAGGCAGTTCTCAATTTAACGTTTTATTATTTTCTCTTCACTCACGTTAGAATTCGCAATTCAATCCGACGATTCTTAACGCGAATAGGGTTATGAGATTATATGCACATTTAAATGTGTTCGTATTCACGGATTTCGTAAATTCACCTTTGCAAGAGAATACGCGGGTTTCTACTAATTTGTAAATTTTTTTCCGCCTCATACTGAAGTCGCCCCAGTTTTGTTTATTGTAAATTCATTGTTTTATCTATATAAGTATATACATATGTATGTCCGTTAAGATAAGAATAATCTTATCATTTTGTCGATAGGCATTTAACGCTCTTATCTCATAGCAAATTGTTGATCGCGCTAGCAAACCTGAACCAAGCTGTAAATGCTTCATTTGTATGTTTAATAGATACTACTTATGTATGTATGTACGTACGTATATTTGTAGGCTTAGAGCTCCTCTATGTATTGCTGAGCAAAATTTATATACCCGAAAAAGAGAACCAAATTTCTAGTTCAGTACCATGGTACAATAAAAACAGGTAGAAGCCAATTTGACGTCAAACCTACAAAAGTCAAAGTTTTCGGGAGAGTAAAAATAAAAATGAGTGTGTGTAAGGAAAAAAAAAATTACATTTCACTGGTTTACGTTTTTAAGTAAATTTGAAGTTTAATTTTATTTATTTATTTTCTATAGTTAAAATTTGTTCATTTGTTTATTGTTTTCTGTCTTTGATTTATGAGTTGCAGTGTTGTTGGAGGAACTTTCCGACATAAGAATCATAGTAACAGCACTTGGCATCAAACGTGCCTTTCCTGTACCTCCCGGTGCATTTATAAAATCTGCTGCTTTAAAATGTTTAACGCACAGCAAGGCTTTTCGCTGCAGCTCTGCCCCACAGCTGCTTTCGCAACGCTCCTTACGCAAAGGACATTGAGGCACGTTAAAAAATTAGTGGTATCTGATTTATATTTAATACCACATAAAAACCACGCTTCAGGTGTTTATGTTTTAACACATACACTAAGTATAAACCTCACAACACTACAAAAATTCAAATATTAATTATATATATATAGATTGGCGCTTACACATATGTTAGTGTTTGGCCGAGCTTCACCTCCGATTTGTGGCGTGCGCCTTGATGTTGTTACACAAAGAGGAGGGACCTACAGTTTTACGCCGACTCCGAACGGCGATTGTATTTTTATGAGAAGCTGTTTTTCAAGGCAGAAATACACTCGGAGGTTTGCCATTGCCTGCCGAGGGACGACCGCTGTTAAGAAAAAACCTTTTATCTATATTTTTGCGATGTTGCCTTGACCAGGGTTTGAACCCAGGTGCTGCGGAGTGGAAGCGCGCACTGCTTACCACTACACCACAGCGGCCGACATTGAAATTCATTTTGGCTTTTCTGAAATACATTTGTGTTTTTCTGAAATACTGTTGGAAAAGGTGTAGTTCTTTATCGACAAAATCAAACCAGTCCGATATTAACTGGATCCTTACCAGTCCAGAAGCAGCAAAATGTGAACTTAGCAAAATTATTGTATTCTATTTTCAAAACATCCTAGCAAAAATTTTGATTCTTTGGTAAGCGCTAACTTTTTGTATTGATGGAGTAACGGAAATAAAGAAAAAACCGCCTCAATGCAAAATTTTTCACTGTCTCGTTTGCCCACTGCATTACCTGTATTGCGGTGAATGCCAATCGAGAAAATGATAGATTATTCTTATCTTAACGGACATTTTTACAATTTCTCGCTTACCTCCAATGACGTGCCCAAGTTAAAGTAATGCGTTCTGTAATCTCCATTTGTAAGCACTTATCGAAATTCACCAAATTCCTTCTAGTTTACATGACGCATTACTTTAACCTGGGCACGTCATTGGAGGTAAGCGAGAAATTGTAAAAATGCTTTCCCACTGCACTACCTTTAATGCAGTGGCCCTACAAGAACAGTGATAGTCATTTGATTGATCATGTGATACTCACTGGTGATGGAAATGGCCAAAAAAAAACACTCCCATCACGTTTTTAAGGCCAATGTGCAAAAAATGATGAAAACAATGTATACATGTGATTTTTTTCTTCTTTCAACTTATGGTCTTATTTAATGGTCTCTTTTTAACCAACGCAAAATTTGCAAATGTGTTAGTAAATAAATGAGAATGTGTTAGTTTCCATCACTCAATTCTTGTAGGGGGGTTAACGAGAAAGTGAAAAATTTTGTCTTGAGGCGTATTGTAATGCGTTACTCCGTCGATTCAAAAAGTAAGCGCTTATCAAAAAAAGAAAAGTTTTTGCCGGGATATGAATGTGCATACACGTATAATGTACATACTAGGGATGTCAATATTAGCGGAAAATTGTTATCCCGGCATTTTGGCATATTTTTAAAGTAACCCCGGGATCCCGGGATCCACCTTGAGACATAACGTTTATGAATTTGAGTAAAAATTCAATAACTGAACTCATTTAAACATACCATGAAATAAAACTATTTACAATTTTCTTTAAACTGATTTTAAAAATCACATATGTCAGTTTAGACAAACCTTAAAAAAAAAACTTTTTTTAAATTGTATTTAAAAAACCATATGATTGAGGAACGCATACGCCACAAATAACACTAGGGCTGTTCAGGATCTTGTGCATATGGTCTTGCATTTGCATATTCGTTGCATTTGTAAATTCATAACAATAAAATGCACACGGTTGTCATGGCAGTCAGCATAAACTTTGCAAATGCAGTTCCAACTGCAAATCCCAGACCATTTCCACAACACCCTGAACAGCCCTAATGTAAATACCAGGTGCTGGTAATAACACTAATAACACGGTGCTACAAAAAAAGTCATGAAATACACTCGAAACAAAACCTAGTCTAGAGTCCGACCGATTCCCAATTTTTGGCCGATGCCGATGCCGATTAATCGGCCTTAGGGCAAAGAATCGGCAGATGCTGACGTCGATTCCTTAAAAAAACTATAATATATAAATTCATTCAAGAACAAATGTTTTTGATAAACTTTTATAATAACAAAAGAAAAACATAAAAAAATAACATTATAAAACAAATAATCATTGAAGAATCTATTTACTTAACATTGAATAAGAAAAAGACTATGGAACAAAGTATTGCATTGATATGTATGCATAGGCGATATACTACTTTTAATACATATTTATGTGTATACATTAGGGTGATCATCGAAAATGTTTTTTTTTTGGAAATTTCCTACCCCCTAATTTCATTAGTTTTTACGAGAAATATTATTGCCTATTTTGATAGAATTTTTAAGATCATACGAAAATACGATTTTGTAGATTTACAGGTTTTTGAATGACAATTTTTGATTCGATTTTTAAGGCCGAATATGATCTGAGAAGAGGATATATAGGTCTTTAAAATGGTATATAATAATCTATTGTCGGACTTGGCTTGTTGGGATTTTTTATCTGGTAAATTAAAAAATACCCATATTTCTCTTAATTTATTAAATTTTGACCATCGATAATTTCTACAATTTCAAAATGAGTAGTCCACTTGCAAACAGCGTTATGTGATTTTATAATAGTAAGCCATAAATTAAAAAAAACGTCTACAACAACAAGTAACATCCAAATTGTAAATTTCTTCTTATTATCTGAAAATTTGGATAAATAAGATCCTATAACATTAAAAATCAAAATCGCAGTGTGGTAGTTTTTGCTAATTTTATATATGGAAATTAAATATAGCGAGTTTTGAAACAGTAAGTTTTATATAGCCAGCCTTTTTAAGCTTTTCGCGTTCTCTCTTCCATGAAGGTCGGTCTGCTTCTTTTTTGAGAGGTCTTCCATTAGGCACCGAAACTACCACGTTTTCTTGCAGTTTTATAAGTTCATCAGAAGATGGAGACTTTTGAACGTAAATACGTACAATAAATATTATAGCGACTTTTGAAAGTGTATATTGTAGGACTCATAAGTGTGTAGGTACATGCGTTCTTATAACTAATTAGACCTAAAGATCTAACTGCTAAGATTTGGTTGTATTTAGACCTTAAGTTTCACAAATGTTCAAACTCTAACTAGACCTTAAGGCTCTCTTGTAACTAGCCAATAGAAATCGCTTAAATTGCAGCGAGTAAGAACCGTTTTGTAAAAACGACGCTATACGGCATTAAAAAACGGATCGAAGACATCATTCGATTATACACATTACAAAGAACGGACGTGTTTGATTTATTTTGTCGCCACCTGATATATTTCATCAGAAGTGGTCTTAGAACCAAATTAAAGTAAAATTTTATTTCGAATATCAAAGTAGCGCGCAAAAACTAAACAAATAGTTTTACGATAAATCGCGAACAAAGTAAAATTAAATTTCGAAGACGTGCTAAAATAAAAATTACCGTAAAATCAATCGCGATATAAACGCAGAAAAATATTCCCTACTGCAGTTAAAAGCCTGGTGTACTGCTGTGAGCATTAATGCGAGTGGTGCTAAGGCGTCTTTAGCTGCAAGATTAAATGAGCTGTCAGCCGAAGCTCGAGGATTATGCCCAAAAGTGGACAAGGCGGGAAAACAAATTTGCGACAACCTAGATGACCAGAACAAACAGGGTGAAGACAACGGCGAAAATAACGGGGAAGACAACGGCGATGACAACGGTGAACATAACGGCGAATGAGGTGGTAAGGGCGTTCCGCTCAATAACATTGCCACAACGATTAGTAGCCAAGCCATACACCGGAGAGCGGCTAAGGTGTTATAATTGCAACTGCTCTGGACATTACGCGAAGGATTGTAGAAAACCAAAGAGAGATGCTGGTACGTTTTATGCATGCGGACAGCAGGGCCACTATGGAGTGCAAGATGTGCAAGAAGGAGAAGAACAATTTTGTGAGTTATTTTAGGTTATACGTATTTGCACATATGAACACTTATATATTGATAGAGTGCCTAGTTGATTCAGGCAGCCCGGTTAGTTTATTGAAGCAGGTTGTGGTGCCCCCGGGATTAGAGTTAGAAGAAGTAAACGAGACGTACTACGGGTGGAATAAAACAGTTTTATGTGTTATTGGGAAAATGAAATGTATTTTGAAAGTCCTGAATAAAGACAATTTAATTGAATTCCTAGTGGTACCGAATGGATGTATTGGTTACACAGCTTTGTTAGGTAGGGATTTTATCGAAGCAAATCATGCAA